GAGCCGACTGTCAACTCATAAAACATTTTCTATGCCCGTTCTATGCCAGCACTCAATTTGTTTTTTTTGTCTCGTACAGGTTCACCTTCAAGAAGTGAGGGGAGGCGACTGTCAACTCATAAAACATTTTCTACGCCCGTTTTCCTAGTGGCCAACCGAAAAGCGGGAGGTGGGAAAGGAGTTTGAAAGAGCGGTGTAGCAGTTTGGGATCGAAAGCGCCTTCCATTCCTATCTTGCAAAGATTGTAACTAAGCGCCTGGCCTTTCCGCCACGCAAACTGGAGAACGTGATCGTCGACCTCTCGGCAACAGCCCTGTTTTCGGTTGGAGAATATGAATTACGATACACCCAGAGGGGGCCGGGTAGAGAACCAGGGTCCAAAGGGACAGCGAATTAACGCATCTCCGAGTCGGCTACACCCAGGTCATGCCGAGATGTTCGCTCCTCATAAATCCTCGGGAGGTTTTATTTACTACCCCATCCACCAGGCCTCGATCAACATCAGGGGAGGGGTAGTGGTGGCCAAAGTCAACGCGCCTTTTATTCCATCCGTGCAATAAAACATTCGCGGCCGCCGACGGATTTAACCAAGGAGGAAGAACGAGCGAGGGAAAGGAGGAGGACGGCAAGAAGGAAAGGAAAGGAGGAAGGAGGCAGGATTCCCGTCTTATTACATAGCAATAAATCAATTCCATTTATAGCAGGCCTTGCTGCTGATAAATCCGGAGTGGGGGGGCGAGGGGGGGAGGGCGAGGAGGGGGGAGGGCTGCGATTCCATTCAGGGGAGGGGGCGCAACGTATAATTAACCCGGGAGGCACGAGGGCCTTGCTATTTCTATTGCATAGCAATATTCCAAGAATTCATAGCGAACCCTGTCGCTGATAAATTAAAAATCGGGGGAGGAAAAGAGGGGGGAGGGAAGAGGGGATCCCGGGGGGGGGGGGCCGCCACGAAAGCCCTCGGCGTGGGCAACTTCGCACGCGTGGCCTTGCCCAAACTACACCCCCCCCCCAAAAAAAAGCAACCACGCGACGCCGTTTGCCAAGGGGGATCTGCTTCGCGCGAGGGAGAGAGAGAGAGAGAGAGACCGACGGCGAGACAACAGGCCGCCATTTTGGGGGGGGGGGAAGGAGGTTCCCGGCTCAGAAGTTGTTGTCGATATTCCACACGTCGCCGCTCAGGGCGTTGGCGGCCCCCTGCAGCGTCCAGGTGACCAGGGCCAGTTGCCGACGGAAGAGGACTTCGTCGAACTTCTCCGGGGCGTCTCGCAGGAGGCCGACGTGCTCCAGGAGGGCCCTCAAAGTGTGGGGGCCCCGGCCGTGGAGGATGTGCCGGAAGGGAGTCTCGGTCACCGCCACGTATTGAGAGAGGAAGTAGAATTCCACCTGGAGGAAGGAGGAGGGGAAGCGTTGGGAGGCGTCCTTTGGACGGCTGCGGACCCCCCTCCCCCAGAGGGCCAGGGCCAGGCTGAAGGATTTGGGGAGGGGGGCTGTGTCTCCTCACACTTGAGGCCCCCCCAGAACCCATCGATTAATAGTCTAGCAGGATTTGCGTCTGGGGGCTACCGCGGAGAGAGGGCGGAGGAAGGGACTAAAAGAGAGTAAACAGGCTACAGCGGAGAGATAGCAGAGGAAGGGATGGCAAGAGAGTAAACAGGCTACAGCGGAGAGAT